CTTAAACTTAAACTTAAACTTAAACTTAAACTTAAACTTAAACTTAAACTTAAACTTAAACTTAAACTTATATGATACCGGACCGGAATCGAATCCGGACCACATTGGTGGGAGGCGCGCGGTCTCACCACTGCTTCCCAAACTTGCTCCTCCAAATTGAACTATTGAGATGGGTATTTCATTTCTTCTCTCGCGCATTACAACGAAAAGCGCGGTAATTGTAAGCTGGTACCATAACCATACATGGCAAGACATGAGAGCTTGATTTTCGATAGCCTCCTGCGTCTTCACACGAGACTAACTTCTTGCGAGTTTTACCGCAATCAAGGCCAGCGACAATCAAGTTCTCGTACTAACGCCATGCAACTAGTTAACGAAACATTCCTTTTAACGAAAACAATTGGTCATAAATGAAATGGGGTTTGGGCTGGAACCATGGAGTGAATACCTACTGGAACCATAACATTTAGAATTAGAAATAAATTATTATTCCAAGGGGGTAACGTTTGAAATTTAAGGAGCGAAGAAAATATAATTTGTTGAAAATTACCTCGAAATCCGCTACTCGAGAACTCCAGCTGTCCACAAGTTGTTAACAGAAACTGCAGCCTTCAATATTTTCACTTATTAAATGCTTAAAAGTTTAATTTGTCATACGTTTAATCCCGTTCAGACGTATGTATTCTGTCGTTCCAAAACGCTAAAAAAGTGAAAACCGGCTTTCACAAAATAACTGAAGCCACAGACGGAAGCGATCACTGTCTTAAAACATTTTGTTTTTGGCTGAAAACGGCTGGTAGCAGGTAAAACCTATTGAGGCATATTATAAGTCGCGAATCGTTTAGGTTTAAAAGCCTGTTGGACTGTTTTGCGGTGCGATCTGCACTGTCAATAAATGAACGGAATTACGTACCACAATTCGATGTGAACTCCTATGTATTTTGTTACCCTGGTTGGTCATTTCCGACTTGAATATTGGCTCATAAGTTCATGCTAGATTTCCGCGCAAGTGCAGCCTTCAAGGTCCAGAGGTGATGCTTTACCACATGAACGAGCATGGGTGACTGGTGGTTTCAGAATTATCTTATCGAAAACATTCATTGAGATCCCAGAACCAGAATGGGTATTTAAAGAGCTCTGTTCCTTTCCACTGCAGGGCAAAGATCTTAAAAAGATGTCCTTTTCTTTCTCGGGCTTTGACTTCAATTCAAATGACTTAAATGGAATCAAGGGGTGTAATCAGTGATGCATCCATGCGTCTACTGCACGTGTTCTTATTTGGAACGCAAACTGGGTTGAATGGGTCAGTTAGTGAGTCAACATATAACCTGCCTAACGATAGGCAAATGAGACCATAACTTCCATAACTGTGAGTTAAGAAGTTAGTGTAGAGTTTTCCAGCCAGTTCTTTAACCCTTCAGATACAAGAAGGGCGCTTTTAATATTTTCCGCTTAATTGGAGTAAACATATTTGATTAATACCTTACAAAAGAGATACCTGCAGGACCTGTCTTGTAAAACCTGTGGTAACAACCTTACCGGCCTAAAAAAAATGGCGGTGGTTTGCTTTTATATTACAACAAGAGAATGAACGAAGATTTTTGATTCGCGGAATTATTCGCATTCGTTAAAATCTAACGCAGATTTTCCTCAAGGCAGTTTCTTTGTTTTGTTTGGCTAGGATCGTGGACAAATGGGACTTGGAACTACGGTGAAAATGGCAGCTTTCTCGGCCACCGTTAAGCTATAACTACGATCAGTTTCCAGATTCACCTTGAACAGGCTTCAATCAATCGGACTGTAGAAACCACATCACTGTAAGCTATAGCCGATATATACTGAACTCGATATTCACTGACACCACAATGTCTGCGTATGTTATCAAACTAACTGAAGAGCAAGACGAAGAGGAGAAAGAAAGGATCGTTTGGTGTTCAAAGAGAAACTTTTACTTCATCCTAGCGTCAGTTCTTATATTTCTCGCAATGTTTCGACTCTGGCTTGTTACTCATCTGGTAGCTGCGCCAAATAATCTAAAATTGGACTAAATCTTTACTTTAGTCTTGAATAAATTAAAAACAAGCGTGTGCCAAGGACAGGTGCGAGGAACAAGTCTCGAAGAGTTTATTGTCTTCTACAGCCACAATATTAATAACTTGATCAGTCCGGATATGAAACACTGGACAAACAACTGTTAACCTTTAAAGAAGACACAATATGCAATGGACGAGGTCCTCAACGAGCTTCATGTATCATCTTCAAGAGCCAATATAAAGATGAAAGGGTAACTTTATAATCATGACTCACTCTGTTAAGATATTAATATAGGTTCCTGAAGAATACAATGCCTTGCAGAAGAGTCATATATGGAACTCTTCCTTAATTAATTTCACTAAGGAGGACTTTCATGCCGGGCGTTTGAGTTATATCGGCATTTTTAACGATGCAAATAATCATAAGCAAAGAGTACTGGTATCCGCAGAACAATTTTGATCTTCTTCCATAATCATCGTGTTTTAAATCGCTGAAGTCGCCAATAAGGAAGAAGATGTTTTGGGATGGCACTAATTTAAGTAACGAAAAACGATGCAGAAACGATTAAATTTTCAAGAAGATTTATTCTCCAACTAGGAAGCCTTTGTTTTGCATTGATGTGAAACTCTTGGAAAAATATCAGTTCCATCAGACAAAGATATGTTGAGAATACTTAATTATACTTATTATCAAGATTGCAGATCACTTGCACGACAGATTTGTCAGCCTTCTTATGAATGTCATTTAATGAAACGTGTAGCGTCAATAAATGGTGCAGTACATTTGGCATGTGTAATTTGTCAGCCAAATAAAAATTGTTTTGAATATTTGGATCAGGACCAAGGACCAGACAGATGAAAATATCTTAAAAATAATCGGGTGAAGACTGCGGGCGTTTGCTTCTCTGCAGCTCGGTTTTGCGTACACCAAAAGGTAAGAACAAGATAACAGTGTTTTTCAAGCGTATTCCAGAAGGGCCATACTAATGATTGGTTGTTCCAATCTCTGATGAAGAGGTCGTGACTAATTTCACATCACAAAAACACAAAAGGCACTCAATGGCTCTCCGTGGTGAACGCTTGGAAAGCTTCGATCATTAAGAAAATTAGTGAAACTTTCTTCGAGAGAGGTAAATGACTTAATTGATTTAGCACGCACAATCGCCGACTGCTCGATGAAGCCCTACTCCATTCAATTCGGCCTTCACGAACAGAACGTCTCGCTGATCCCTCGAGAGCAAACAGTCTACCTAGAATCCCATAATGGCCTCTAAAGGAAGAGAACGTCTTTAATGATTAATGATATTCTTATTGTTACTCTCAGTTTTCCGCCATTTGAAGTTTTTACATTAAATACCTCGGTGTAAAACAATATGGTTCAGACTGGTGCCACACTATTTGAGACCAACTACAAAAACAGCACCTAATTGTTTTTCCAAAACACTCTATTTTACCACCAAGGGAAAACAATACAAGCTCCAATATGGTCTCGGACGTAATGCTCTGATTGTTTACTCGTTTAAGGTAAAAAAAAAAATTGCATTTGGACAAGAAAATTCTTCTTTCGAAGTCTAAAGAAATGTCGCCCATTGCTGGTATCTTTTCGTCTGAACCTCTCCAAAACAAATACATCGAAAATACAGTATTCAGTCAACTTCTAACAAATGCATCCGTAGATAAACAAAACAATCAGAAAATTGAAAAATGGTGTATAATAGTGTTTGGATCCAAACTGGTTTAATTATCCAGCAACGCGTAAATGTAAAGTAGAACATAAACGAACAACAAAACGAACAGATGCGTAAATCCCACGGTAAAGATATTTTACTTAGAACTGATGAATTTTCTCAAAGGACACGAAACTAAATTTAAGGTTAGGCAAGGCAATTAGATTTATCCTAAAAGTCGTTTTCTACCTTTGGAGTCATAGAAAGGTTTAAAAGTTAAAGTAAATTGAAAGCAAACGTTTACATATTTTATTACATTAACAACTAAATGATACTGACATTGCATGTCAATAAAGCATTGTGTTCCAATATACCAATGTATCAATATTAGAAGCACAGAATGCAATGGGCAAAGAGGTCCGTCACGGAACAGATTTGATCAACTGCGCAGCTATTCACAAGGTAGAATACTCAACAAATGTCCGATATTTTATTATCCAGGAACTGGATATCCGCTCACTTTTCCTCGAGTCTGTCTAATTGAAATGTCAAATTGATAGTTTTGACGTAAAATCCTATTGGCTAGGTAAACAAGCGCTCATTGCTCATTGGCTAAAATGCAAAAGGAAACCAATGTAGTCACCGCTCGTCGCTAACAAAGAGAGAAAATAAATGTAAACTTTTGGCAGTGCAAGCAAAGAACCAGATGTATTTACATTTAAGGTCTAAGCATAGCTTTTCAGAAATTAACGGCGCTTAGCCGGTGTTGTGCCCATATCTAATCAATAACTGAAGTCAGACACAAAATGGACAACGGAACTTCTCTAGATGAAAGTGCTACCAATGAGACATTGGAGACTCAAGATGGACTTTTTCGAACTAAAAGTGAAGTATTCGTTTTTATGGCGCTTTACATCCTGCTCTCATTACTGGCGATTACTGGAAACTCTTTAGTTGTTGTTGCCTTCAGAAAAGTTCGCCTCCGGGCAGCCATCAACTTGTTTTTTGTTAGTTTGGCCGTCTCGGATTTGATGGTGGGTGCAGTTTCCATTCCACTGTGGATCTACCACCTTTCCTGTCCTTATTTCAGCTCGTGCATCGAACCAAACGTTTCAGTCAGCGTGTTTTACAGAGCGTTCGATGTATTCAGCGCGATGGCCTCGATATGGAACCTTGTGGCGATAAGCGTGGAACGCTATTTGGCGATCTGCTGGCCCGTTCATCACCGGTTGAGTTCCTTCACGAGATACTACTTGATGATCTTTGCGACTTGGAGTTTCTCCGTGATGATTACAGCTGTTTACTCGGTAGACTTCAACCCCACGTGGAAGAGTTATCGTGGTTCGCTGATGTTCGTGGCAGGTTTCGCTGTTCCTCTTCTCGTCATCACCGTCATGTACAGTAGCATTCATCGAAGTGTTGTGAGCATGAACGCGCACTGGAAAAGAGCGAACGCCAAGGCATCCGTGCTACGCAAGAGCGTGCAACGGGAAAAGAGAACGGCAACGACTGTCTTCATTGTGACAGCGTTGTTCATAGCTGCTTGGCTTCCTTTTTTCGTCGTGTCCATGATATGGACGTTTCATCGATCGAGTCTTCTTGTCGGAAGAGGTTTCATGCGACTCATGGACTTCATAAAATGGATGCATTACAGTAACAGCGTTGTGAACCCAATCGTATACGCCTATCGCAGCGAAGAGATAAGGAGAATGCTGTTTAAATTGCCAGTGCCGGTAACGGGGAGAAGAGATGGATTCCCTGGGAGAATGCAACCGACGGGGAATAGGCCTAGGATCACCTAAATTTTGAAGAGCTCTGTCTATCTGTTTAATATAAGCTGGCGAACGAGAAGCCCATTGAGGGACAGAATTGTGTTAAGTTTGTTAAAATTATATGTTCGATTAGATGCACAAAGCATTAATTTGAAAAAAATGTATTTTGTTTGACTGTTCAGTTGGATATTGGGTGTAAACACTTAATGGTGGTATCGACGAAGAAGGCAGTAAATTTGAATATATATTCTTGTATTACTGTCAGCTTTTTGGAGTTTGACTGACAGATCTGACTCCCGAACAGGGAAGCCCTCAACTTTGAAGGACAAGGGTATCTACATGTATTCTTTAAAAATAGCTGGCTTTCAAATACAAGGACAAACTGAACATCGCTTTTCAAACAAAGAAAGCTGCACTACGTAGTGGGTCGGGATGAAAAAGAAAAAAACATAATTGACGACGGAAATGTTAGTTGAAATCTGCCCCCGCGCAATACCCAAACTTCGGAAGCGCTAATTTAATTTTTTTAGAACGATACGAAAGATCTTTCTTGAAGGTGCTAACGTGATGGCCAGTATCGGTGATTCTATGAAGGCTGGAAGTCCTATTAATTACAAAGATATTGGTATCCTCATTGGTGAATACAATTAAAAAAAGAGAGAGAGAGAGAAAAAAAGAACTGTATTAAGGATAATTCATACTGTACATGTAAATTGCCTAGCCTTTCTTAAAACCGCGCTTAGCTAACTAAAAGGTTAAAAGCTGGTTGAGGTTTTGCATTTAGGACACGTTCGAAGTATATCTTACTTTCACTAAGAACTTACACAATATGATAAGTACAACATATGATATTTTTCAAACGTTTCCAAAAATAACACGGCAAAACAAAAATGTTAAAGATTGTGCAATCACTATGCTTTTCAAGGAAAAAATAAATATTCAGTTCGAATTCAATGCGCTTCTACTTTCTTTGATCCTTGTCACATTGTATTGGGTATCAATTGTTAGCCTGTTCCAGGCTATCGGTAGTTGGGGAAAAGCGAAAAAAAGAGGGCGAGCGAGAGAAAAAACGAGGAATCCCTCGTCTTAGTCCTCCCTCGTTTTTTCTCTCGCTCGCCCTCCGTTTGTCCCCAACTACAGAGAGTCTAGAACAGGCTAATCAATTGTTAACGACGAAAAATAGAGAAGCATAGACGATTCAAAGAACTCCTTTTATGCTTCCCGGATAAATTTAACTGATGTGGCTTAGTTATTCCAATCGCTTCTTCGGAATTAAAATTTTACCGACGAAGATTTTATTCCTCTCAGCATATTTCGACTGCAAATGTTAAGTTACAGTTTGAGGTTTTAGATGAGCTTGAAGTAATTTGAAAATAAAGGGCGAAAGCTTTGAAAGAAACAGGTGATGGAACTGAAGTTAACTGACGCGAAAATAAAAAAAAAAAGTGCTAGACAGGTTAAGTCCTGTTTTGAAATCGCTACAGTAACCTATTCCTGCACTGGATTTAATTTACCCTTCCATTCAACCCAGATCATGTTCTGCATGTGATATAGGGTACATCAAGTAGATGCAAGATCTTAGCCCATAATTTGGACTCTGGCACCGGGTCAAATTCCGCCGTTGATAATGGTTTCATTAGCTGCCGGTTTTTTTTGCCGAAATTTTTACCCAGCATGAATCCACGACGTACTTTCCTCTTGCCAAGTTTCAAGTTTCGTAGTTTTTAAGCGGAGTGCTTTTTGCGCAACGTTTGCGTTGGATATTATAAGATAAAAAGTCGGTACAGGTGTGAATTCGATGTCGTCACCAGACCGCTTCTGTCCTATAAGTATAAATTTAAAAACCCGTGGACTTGGAGATCGAGAGCCAGGAACTACATTAATTGACTTTGTCGGAGTTTGACAAGTTTCTTTACCGCAGTTTAACGCACGGGGAGAAAAAGAAAAAGAAATCCACGTTCCACAAGTTTAGTATGTAAATCAGTACATGAAGACCATAAGAGAACGGCATTTGAGTTTGACAGAATTTGATGGAGTTGTTTACAAAAAAAAATGAGTTGTTGGTTTAGGAAGCGAGGTCACTTAATAACTTTAGCCATATATGTAGTTTGACCAATTCCATTTTAAATCTACTTTTGAAAGACTTTATAAATATATCGCCAATTCCAGTTTTACACCATAAACTATGAATACTTGAACCGCATAACACCTTGAAGCAAATTGGCTTCAGTTAAAATGGGTGGATGAAGGTTTAAACAACTGCACTTTTTTCATCAAATGGCAGTCATCATGTCACAAGTATTTTAGCGAAACTCCAAAAAGGAATCTTTCTACCTGACTAGTGTCAAATAGCATATAAATTAGTTATATTCATGAAGTTCATTCATGAATGGGTACTTGCAGAAATAACGTGCGCCGGACTCTTACACTATTTCATATAGTTTAAAATGCAGTATTCCTTTAATTTAACCCTGTGTGAAATTCATAGCAAATGTAAACAACTCGGCGTAAATTTCCTAATTCTGAAAGCGCGCCAGCCAGCCAATTAACAAGTATTCAATTCCATCGTGGGATGCGTTTTCCCACGTTTACGAGAGCGCAATTTTTATGAAGCCTTTTTTGACGAGCATATCCGCAGAATTTGAGCCTTTTCCCCACAAATTTCATTATGCCTCATAAATAAATAAAAAAGCATGTAATGGGTTTTTGTTCTTAAATGGTTGTCATCGGTGTTGAAATAGCAATTCAAACACTGCAAGGCAAAGTATTCTTATTCTAAGTGAAGCCTGCAGGAATTCTGTAGTCAAAAGATATTAGAAACTCGTATCTCTTAGAGACTATATGTACCAGAAATATTCGCGGATATCGAGGGAAATCAGAACAAATCTAAAAGTAGTCTTCGGCTGTCGACTAGTCTACAGCATTTCCTACGGGCTAAGAGCCTTTTCACGAGAAATCAACCCTTTGCTAGATGAACTATATTTTAGGTAAATATACGTCATAGGCGAAACCCTTACGTAGGAGGGCCAATCACAATCGCACACAAGCTTTTTTAATTACTTGAAAACTATCGCCTTCACTCACATAAATCTGAGCCAGCTGCTGAGAGATTTTGAGATCAGTTTTCAAAGCACTCACGGCCAGGTTAAATGCTGCCCTGAGGGAAAACTCTCGACGTGTTGAGAAAGGATTTATTAATTCGTGCTTCCCCCTGTCCAAATGGTTTTGCTGTGACAACTGTGGGAAAGATTCAACCATTAAGGTAGGAGGAAAATTCTAAAGCTCTTGTGAATTGCAAGATGCATTTACATGATTTATCATTAAGCTGTACAGTTAATAAAGTGCACGAGCTCTTTGAATCTTCTCAAGATATGCTTTGATGGACCGAACCGATCAGCATCTGGTTTATTTGCGGGTGTCCTTTTGCCTTCAAAGTAAACCGTCCTTTTCACCGGATAAGGCCGCTTAAAGCGTTGATGAAACAGCAGGATTCATGTTATGACACAGGCTTGTTAGTTTTTCTAGTGTCTTATTTACTTTACCTATCTTCCTTTATAGTGTGACAATGGTTGCCGAGGCAAAGAAAATTTGGAAACATATAGTTATGTAAGCTAAAACCGTGAGAGTCTTCGCTTTTCACTCATCGTTTAATAGGCTTTACCTCCTCAGTGAAGAGTTTACAAGTGATTGTATTAGCACTGGAATGGCAATTAATACAACAAGTACGAGTAAAATATGACTACAATTCAAAACTGCTCGCTTCTATGTGATTTCTTGCCTCTGAACCATTCACGGTAATCTTTCTTGATTTGCGTAAAAGATTTAAATTACGAAACATGACAAGGAAAGGAAACCACAAATCCAATTTTAACATAATACGGTATAGTAATTATTATCACTGATTAAATTCCCATCGACCATTGAAACGACCTATTCTCATTAATTGAAGATACCTTTGCAGCTATAAAAGAAAATATCCAGCAATTCCAACCATTTCTTAATTATTCCATGTTCCTCGATATCTTCTAAACGATCAATATTCCATTTTCACCTGCTTATTATTGACTTCCCTAGTCAACAGCAAAACATGTATTCCCAGGATTTGTATGTACCTTTGATATCAATCTGTTGATATACAATCATGATTCAATTTTGGCCTAAGTTGATATGGTTCTACTGATGAAACTGCTGTTACATCTATTTATAGCAGTGACCCTCGTTGACGACAAATCTGCGTTTTTCCAAATATTCGTGGCCTTCAATTCTTTTCAATTTCTTTAAAATAAATGCATAGGCGTTTCATGCCATGCCTGTTTCGACCGTGGACTCATTTGAATTTTCCATTAGTGCATTGTTGTGCCATAAAGACCCGTGAGCCATGACCCCATCGAAGATTTAAGTTAGCTCAAGTCAATTTAGAAAAACTGAATCCTATCTGGCGAAAAATCCTTTCCGATATTTTCCAAGGTCAATCCATCAAGCTTACATTTTTGCCATAGTACCCATGAAAAAACAAAGTACCATATTGCTTTTTATACCAAACGTGGCCTATCATTTCCTTGAATTGTTTTATATTAACTGACCTATAAAGAGAACAGCGTAACGAACCGTTCGATTTCACTTAATGCCAAATGGTGTTATGAAACAAATACGTACAAATATTGTGAACTGAGTTTTCACAGTTGTTGCAATTAATTGTATTCGGTAATTGCGGCGTCATTGTGAAGGACTTTACATGGAAAACAAACCAAACTAAGCCGAGTCATGGAGACTGCCTCAAGGCAGAAGGATTCTATTTAGCTCCCTTATAACTACCGTTAACAATTCACCAAAATTTTATTTAGAATACAGCTCGATCGGCGGAAAATCTCCAAAACGGAGCTGGAATAGCCAGCATGTTATTTCTCGAACATTTCTTCTGACTATGTCAACTCATTCAGCAGACGGGTGTTGTGCATGAATTGGAAGAAACTTTATCAACTCTTAACCGAGAGAAGAAGCTTCTTTTATTCAATATTTCGTTATCCCAACTCGTAATTAACGACCTGACTAAGGGGTGGCATGTAAGCTGCACGGAATTACCTCCAGCTGTACCCTAGCTGTCAACAACTCCAACAACCGTGGCTCTTAACAAAATGAAACCATTGGTTTAGTGTGTATTCTGATAAAGATCATTGCACAACATCTCGCTTTCGGGATGGCATCAAAAAGAACATCAGTCAATCCTAAGCCATCCGAGAGAGCAAAACGACTCAGTTAAATACCTTAAAAATAAAATATAAATAAACGCAAAGGGATCTTTTATTACTTATTTTTTTTGCTGTAGATTAAAAAGTGCAAGGAGCGTTGTTGGTTTAAATTGAGCAAAGTCTGCCACGCAACCTCCTCCACAAAATGGATCCAATGAATAATGAAAAGCGATTGTCACCAAACTCAGTCAGTTTCTGATGATGATTTGCAAGGAAATTATCCTTACATTTTCGCAGCCAAAATACAAATCAGTTAACGTTTAAACAAACAATTCAACTTTTGCCCCCATTTTATTTAACATACGTCCCAAACAGGATGCCAGGGGATCGAAACTCTGGTTAAAATAAAATAATCCATACCCAAGTCATTCAAAACTTAAACTACCACAATCAATTACCTTCGATGAAAGTCTGCTTCATTGTGAAATGCAGACAAAGCCTGAGTTTGTTTTAAACAAACTGTCAGCAATTAACCTCAGTTCGTTGCATTTCTATCTTTCGTTACCTTAAGAACAAGGTTTCTCGCGGCCAGAATCTTTGCGGAATTTGCTGTAATTTTTAATAATACTCGCAATGCTAAATGAGATAAAGCGAAAATTTTATTACCAAGCACCACCTTGTTTATTGATCCCTACAAGGTGAATTCAATGCTGTCCTTCTTACTGGGAGTGTAGGAAATGAAAAAAATTCTTTCCGTCATGTTGACTGACATGTTTATCAACTACAAGCTGCGCCTGAAGCGAAACATCAAAATATTAAAATTTAGTTCGGGTTATGGAGGTAATTTTAAGACTGAGACGCAACGCCAGAATGCTACGGGCTTTCAGTTTTGTAACTGCAGTTTAAACCAGTCAAAACTCTTAATTTTCTTTCTGCATCAGCTGATACTAACCATTTTTGAATTATAAAGTTGGTGACTGAAAATGTCATCGCTGGTCAACAAAGCTGAATCTCGGACGAAATGACACCAAGGTAAATATCTACGAGCTCGGAATAGTGTGTTTTGTTTCATGCCCATTTTAAGTGAGTTAGCTAAAACAAACTCAAACCACTTATGGGCTTATGGCTT